AGTGTAGAGGCAATTTTGGATCGTGGGAAGGCGAGATCATAAAGATCTTAGGGAACGTAGGACGGAACGAGCTGGAGATTAGGTTTCACGAAGAAGTAAGCAAATGCGCGAAGAATATTCTTTTCGATAATTCGCATCGGGCGTATAAAATTATGGAGCAAACTTTTGGAGAGAATAAACCCCGTAGAGGCTTGTGACTGGGCAAGTATACAAACTCAATAAATGGTTTCGGTGTGGCTCTCTCCCATCCCTGCACTCCACGACCGACGGTTTCGTCTTTGTTTAGACTCATCAGGTAGAGATAGCCGAGCTGGGAGTGGAACTCGGCGCATAGTGCTTGGCGGTTATCGCCATGATCACTATGCTACTGAGCTCCGCGAGCAGTGTTTGACACAGCGGTTAGAAGTAGATGTTCGGGTTTTAGAGCACCCGCCGTGTGTCTTGAATTGCGACGCGCAATCTCACTCGTGGCGTCGGTTGACTGTGAAGTCAGCCTCGGACAATACAAGACACACGGCAGGTGCTCCAAAACCCGAAAAGCTACTTCTAACCGCTGTGTCAAACACTGCTCGCGGAGCTCAGTAGCATAGTGATCATGGCGATAACCGCCAAGCACTATGCGCCGGGTGCTCCAAATCCCGAAAATCAATGTTTTGATCAATCAGACTGTCGCATTAGGAAGTTAGTGATCAAGGCAGGTCATATGTCAAGTTCAAGGCCAAGGGAATTTTAGAGCCTGTAGTAGTGTGCGCTGTTTGCACAGCTCTGGTTTTAGAACCTTGATTGCAATGGTTTCAGAAATGCTCAACAGATGCTTCTTAAGCTGTTTTGGGTAGCGTTTAGGGACAGTATAAACGACTTGAAACGACTGGTTCATTTGGAGGTGATGTCCAGTGTCGAGCAAGTGTTGTAAAACGGAACTGTTGATGGATTTTACCGTGCCTTTTCGTAGTAACGCAGGACAATGTTGAGCGATTTCACGAAGAAAGGAGGAGGTATAGTAGAAATGTTTGGTAGGGGAAGGGAAGATGGAGGGGAATTGTGATCGCGACGCCCGGATGTTCTCTACACTGCCCCTCAAAATTCGAGCCAGAATTTGCATTGTTTGACGACAGTGCGGTACTGTTCTGGTCCATCCTAACCCACTCCATCCACGATGGGTGGATACAGGAATTACAACGGTACACCTGCATCGCCCACTTCGGCCCATTGAGCTCACAGTGGTCCATCCTGGAGCAGAAGACAGAAGACCCGCATTCCACTTGCGGAGAGCCAACAGCCAGAACTATTTCCTCCTCTAAACTACTTTCTACTATCAAACAGAGTTTCCGTATGTCTCTTTTATATAACTCGTTAGCTGTTCGCACTATCACCGTCCTAACGAGACCATCTTCCGAACTTAAACGGCTATCAATTATTCCTAACGGCCACCTACAACTCGAAAAGGTATCAGAAACGACTAAAACCACGTCCCCAAGCGCAAAATACCTGCTCTGGTTAAGCCACTTTTGTCTGCGTTGCAGTAGTGGTAAGTATGCCCCAATCCACCGTTTCTAAAACAGATCTGTCAGGTAATGCTCTTATCGCCAGCACCAGTTGTATCCACCTGTTAATGAGGCTGGTAATAATCCTGTAGTATTGGACCGTAGGATTAGTAAATCATTAGGCGTGAGAGCTAGTCGATCGTTCGAGTCCACATTCAGTGGAACCAATGGTCTACTGTTGACAATGCGTTCTGCTTCGACAAATAGGGTACACAGTGCCTCGTCATTTAGAGTCTGTTGCGTAGTGACCAATAACAGAAGGCGTCTAACAGGGGTGACAAGGCGCTCCCAAACCCCACGGCTGTGCCTGACCAATGGAGGATTGTAGTGCCAGTGTATTTCTAGACTCGGAAGGTTATCAATGATCTTACCCTGGGACCAACTATTCATAATAGGAGGTAACTCAATAACAGCACAGACAAAATTGCTTCCATTGTCACTGAATACTTCGGTTGGCGCCCCTCTTCGTGATACAAATCGCATCAGTCATGATGAAAGAGTCGGTACTCAATTTATGGGATAGTTCGAGATGTACTCCTCGTGTTTGTAAGCATGTAAACAAACATAAATAGCGCTTCTGTTGTTTTCTGCCGTGTTTGACAACGAACGGTCCGAAGTAGTCCACACCGACTAACTGGAAAGGATGCCAACCTCGTTCCACTCTAGTCAGCGGCAGTGGTGACATCAGCTGTTGACCAACACTGGCAAGCTGTCTTTTGCAAGTCCAACAGTTTCCAAACCCTTGCTTCACAGCTGAAAGCCCGTGAATGACTCGGTAGTTACGACGTATGCTTGACAATACATGAGAAGGACCCGCATGCCCTTCCAGTGGACGATAAAACCTAACCAACAATCCTGTTACCGCATGCTTAGGGGGTAATATTATTGGGAATTTAAATGATGCTTCGTTGTTTGACCCCCAAGAGAAAGTAAGCCATCAAGCAATATGAAGCATAGCCTTATAATAAGTCCTTCCCTTATTCTCCGTTCAGGAGACGCTGCTTGTACATTTGCTTTCTCAAGCTGTCTCAACTCAACGTCATAAACTTCCCTTTGAGCAATTCGAATAATGTCAACTTCGGTCCTTTTAAGCTCAGACAACGTAATCAAGCCGGTATGTTGTGGGACATCATCAGTTGCTCGTTTACGATTCTTCAGGTACGTCTTGAAGCGGTAAATCCACGCAACCGACTTTAATTACATGATCCAACCTGAATACCTTCGAATTAGAGTAAGCTAATGTCTCGTGCGACGCTTTTACTTGAGCCGATGACGGTTTGAATTCTATACCTTCCGGCACGGAACTCACGAAAAAATCTGGCCATTCGTCCTGGTCGTTGAGTAGAAAGTCTGGTTCTCGGAACCAAGTCTTCAGACACACCGGGGAACAGGTATCTTGACAAAGGATCCGCTGAAATTGACCCGACTTAACGAGCTTCCATTGGCTAGGGGTCGACAAGTCATGTATAGCAGACAATTGATTGCTACCAAACGTGCTAAATCTGGTGGGCGTCATTAAGGTAGTAGTGCATTGTAGTGGAGTCTGTCCAGAACCAAGTTTTCTCGAATCATAGTTGCGCCTTTTCATTTACATCCTCAAACACCCTGGGGATAGACACAGTCTTTATGAGGCCACTCTGGATTTGGCATACAATAAGGCGCAATGTGCGACACCCGTGCCGCGAAATCTGGCGTAAGCGACTGCCCCGTATCCGTTCTCGGAAGCATCACAAAAAATGTGCACGCTCGTCGAATCCGTGAATGCATCTAGGAATTTTCAAAACACCAAGGGCTTTCAGTTATCTTAACCAGGTGTCCTACGCTTCTTCGTCGTTGCTCGTGATCGGATCATCCCAGTGAACTTTGTTCCAACATAAACCTTGCAGTATTAGCTTAGCCGGCATAACGATGGGGGCTATCAACCCCAGGGGGTCATATATGGAGGATACAACGGACAGAATTCCTCTCCGAGTTTTTGACCTTTCGTCAGCAGAAAATTGGAAGAGAAACACATCCTCCTTGCAATCCCACGCCAGCCCCAGAGTCCGTCGGACTGACCCAGATAAATCCTCTATTGGTTTGACAGTCAGCGACCTCAGTGGGCGGGACCGCTTCGTACACGTCTGGGTAGTTGCAGACCCATTTCCATAGACAGAATCCCACTCTAATTTGTGAAATGAATTGTGTTGCCCTTTCTACAGTCGGCATAGAAATCAGCAGGTCGTCGACGTGAAATTGTGACGGATTGCCTCCGGCACAGTATTGTCGTATCGATATCCCACTCATCTGCCGTTCGACATAACCCAAAAGTTGCAGAGAATGGAGACCACGCTGCACCGAAAGGGTGAGCCGTCATCTGATACCCTACCACCACAGAGCCTATCAAAACATCCTTCCACCAAGGGAAGCGCAGTGCGCCTGTCACTTTCTAGCACCCATACTTGCATGTACATATATTCTATATCTGCTGAGATTGCCACCTTCGCGTTGCGGAAACCCACCAGAATACCGAGGAGGTTTGCCGTGATATATGGGTCCTGAAGTAGCTGGATATTTAGGAAGACACCCTTATGCTTGGCGGCGCAATCTAAAACGATTCGGTTTTCCCGACTCTCTACAGAGGCATCAAGTCCAAATAACACGAAAAGGAATTGTAGTGCTTTTTCGGGTGTGCAAAAGATTATCCGATTGCAAATTGACGGAAATGAATTATCCATAAAAATTTACACGAAAATTCAAATCACAAGTACATCCTAATACTAGTTGTTTGCTACTTTCACTATTTTTAGTGCCGCCTGAGTTACATTGCGGCACAGTAGCCGAGGTTTCTCGAGTCCAACAAACGTGTAAAATGATGATGAGTATGAGGAAGGACAAGAAACAAAAGAAAAGCTGACATTAACGGGTGATACCTGGAGAGAGAGGGGCTGCGTTCGAAGGAATTCAAAACCAATACTTGGATCGAAGGCAGACTAAGTTCGAGAGTGTCACCACATAATCCCATACAGATATCTACACATCATCGATTGATTCAAAAAGTACACTTAAGATTTGACACATTAACCATCAGAAATGGACAACGAAAGAGTGGTGACGGATTTGCATCCTGGTAATTGGAAACTGCATAACTTAAGGTGGGCGAAAAAGGAAATCAATTGAGCACTAGTTGTACTCTCCGTCATTGGTGATTATTCTTCATCATCCTCAATAGAGCTGAGTTCAATTTGTTGTCCACCATGTCATTTTTTAGAGAAGAGGGTCCCCGATCTCTAGCACACATCCAATGGGGATGCTGGGGCTAATGTTGGCTTATCTCTGGTTGTTGTCCTGGTTAAGGAGGGTACCTTTTATGTGCTACCCAGTGTAGTTTGAAGGATGACAAAGAGGCGTAGACCATGATAACAAATGGAGATCCAGTCCCATTATAATGAATCCTTGCATTAAATACTAGCTTACCAGGTGGCCTAAGTGAGCCATCGTAATAGCAGTTCCAAAGTAGTAAATCCAGGTGGCATTAATATTAACACCAACCAGCAGTAAATTAGCGAACATTCCCAAGTGGAACAGGGTGAGGTAAGACTTCGTTTTGTTTCCAAACAGGATGGCGAGTGATTTGACACCAATTGACAAGTCATCCTCAATGTCCTGAAAGGCAAGTGAGATTCACCATAAAAAAACGGAACCCGATGGGTAGTTAGCACACCAATACACAGCATGAGAACAAACCTGGAAGGCATAAACAGTATCGTAGATGAGAGTCCATTTGATGCCGGCAACGTACAAAGGTATACAGATTAGGGGGTCGAAGTGACCAACGACGGCTGCATACCCAAGGAGTGCACCCCAGTTGAAAGCAAAACCTGGGTAAAATAAATATCAAGACCTAGTGAACGCACAAATGCACGCAAAAAAGGGTGAGTAAAAGTAACCAAACACAAATGTGAACGGTGGTTCGGAAGAGTGGAGTAAAAAGCACAAGTAGTACGACAAATCCTCTCACTTGGTGAGAATAGATGGTGTCGTAAGTTGCAGTCCAAACTGTTGCGCCTATGTATAGTGGAAGGCAAATGGGCAAATGACAATAACCGAACACTGCAGAATAACCAAGCCAGACACCCCAATTCAGAGTGAGTCCTGAAATGAGTGTTAGATAAATGTTAAGGTTAGTGACAGTGTGAAGCACGAGCGCTCACCGAGTACCAACTGCGGCCAATAGGTGAAACGCTTAAATAAAGGATAAGTGGTCACCAGCAATAATGAGAGAGACCCGAGTCCAACACTGAACGACCGGTCAACGCTGCAACAGAATGTTACCTGTAGTAGTTCAACTGCAAAAGGACTGCAAAGGCCGCCGATAGTTGCACGCAGAGAAAAGCAAGCGCTGCCCTAGATGTGAGATCACCACAAGCAAGTGGTCTGCTTTTTGTTCTCTCCACTTGACGATCGAAATTCTGGTCCATTAAATCGTTAATAGTACAACCGGCACCGCGCATCAGAATGGCGCCAACCGCAAATATGGCGAGTAGTTTCATGTCTGGAAAATGGCCAGGTGTTGCCGCAAGGGCAATGCTCCAAGTACATGGAAGATATAGAAGCCAGGTGCCTATCGGTTTGTCATAGCGCGCGAGCTTCACATAGGGTCTCAATCGGACAGGAGTGCGAGAACTCAAATTGTTGTGATTACAATATTGTCGCTTGAAAATTCTTGGAACACGGCCAAATGCGCCAGTGCTAGGGCACGGCTTAAAACAGACCGGAATACGTGCAAGAGAATAGTAAGGCACAACCGAGAACATCGGAAAACAACATCGGCTGGACAGGAAAGTTCACTGATCCGATCGGGGTGGAAAGCTCATTCCAATGCGCTGAAATAGGTAGAACACAAGATAGTCATTGGAGAGGGACGTAAGGACAGAAAATACGTGAAAACAATAAGTGTGTTATACCGAACGTAGAGGTTACGAGCGGATGCAAAGAATAACCAGAAGCAGTACACCAGTAACTCACGGTCCTGCACTCTTGATATGCAAGCTGCTACCAAGAAGGGCGGTTGTATGAATAAGCAAAAAGGGGTGAACAAAGGGTATGTATACATTAAAGGCGGTTTCTTCCCCATTGGTGGCAAAATGATATGTTTGAGCATGCTGTCTATTTGAGGTTTCACTTTCAAAGGACAGTTTCGGGACAGTGATTACACGAGCGTCGTTCGAAAAATTTGACTTTTGTCAAATTTCGCTTGATCCAAACAATTTTGGATTAACTTTTTCCCAAGACAACCTCTGTGGCATCCTCACGGCCAATGTACTAAGCCCTTTCTGTTCGTTGCCTGCATCCGCTGGCGTGTCAGTAACCCGCTCACCCATTTATCGATTGGCCTAGTTTACAATAGTGGATCAATGCGTTGTACAATATGCCGATTAGAATACAGTTTTGCCTTCCATGTGCCTGACGTGTTTTGTTTTGTGACACTTCGGCTAAGAGCCAGTCACGGTGCGTTAGTTCCGTAACTGCTAAACTGATATTTTGACGACGAAGGCTAAACTTGGAATAAATTACTATGAGTCATCTAACCCCGCCTGATCCCTTTTGGAAGGACACGTCGTCCAAGCCAGCCTAGCAGTTCGGAATCGAACCTTCTCTGACTTCCTTGAGCTTTCACAATTACACACCCCACATCAAACTTAGTGAACCCAATCTATCAAACTACTGAAAAAACACCTCGGTGCAGAAGGTCAACGACATTTTGATGCGTTGCGTTTGTACGAAAGCACATCCCTGACAGACTGTTTTAACGTCTTGGATGATCTTTGGGGGCCGCGGAAACATGTTTCTACTGCGCGTCTAAGTTCTTCTCGTTCACGACAGGGAGAAGAGAGTGTTAATGAATTCATCAGTCGTATGCAACAGTGCATTCCTGACTGCCGTTACAATAAAATTCCCGCAACGAAATTCGAAAAGACGATGGCGATGCAGTGCTTTTTGGTTGACATTTGAGACGATAAACATAGAGAACACCTGCTATCAGAAGACAAGAAAAAGATCACTTGGGAACTAGCCTGCTCACTGGTCAAACAAAGAGAAAGCGTTGTGCAATAAGTAATTCAGTTTCGAAGCGATTCTCCTTCAGATGCCTTCCATGCGGTTAAATCTCGACTATCACACACTAACAAATGTTTCTTTACATGTTACTGATGCGATGAGAAGCATGAAAAGGCTACTAATTGCAGACACAAACAGTCTACTTGTCATAAGTGCTGAAATGTCGGACATATTGCACGGGTATGTCGTCCAACTGTGCTTCAACGAGCAATATCCCGCCCTGCCCAAGGTACTGTTCAAACTGTGGCAAACACTGACGATCCCATATTCCATCTAATTTCGCACACAACCACATTGCACGCAATGGGAATATCCTCGTACACTGTTGATTTAAACATTGAAGGCCAATCAGTACGTCTGGAGATCGATATCCGGGTCTCGATCAGATTGATCAACAACCGAACTTTGCCCGACCTAGTTCTGACTCCGACTCAATCGAAATTACGACAATACACTAAGGAAATACTCGATGTTTTAGGTGTGTGTGTGACGTGAAGTACATCATGGGGACAATACGTTGATTCTTCCTACCATTGTTGGTAACACAGACGGACCTAAGCTACTTGTGAGGAATTGGTTAAATTACACCCCGGAAACAGTACAGTCTGTCAAAAAGGTGGACAGAATTTCTGATTTACCCAAACTCTTGAAAAGCTTTGCCAGTAGTTTCAATACAAGCATACCTGGAAAATTACGTGATTTCAAAGACTGCTTAAATATCAAGCGACAGATGCAACCGAAATTTTACAAGGCATGAGTCTACCTTACGCAATCCGTCCGAAGGTAGAGTTAGAGCGATTACAAAAGGACGGGATAATTTCGTCCGTACGTCGCTCTTCCTAGGCTGCACCCGTCGTTCATGTACAGAAACCAGATGGCGTCACCTAGTATGCAACGCTGGGTTTTATTCCTCTCCGTTTACGATTACAAGATCACCTATGTCCCAGGGAAAGTAAATAGAATCGCGGACGCACTGAACCGTTTACCGTTGAATCACCTACCAGATTGTGTACTTAACCTGTGGAGCATGTTAATCTGCTGCAATATTTGGGTGAAAATCCGCTGTCAAATGCAAATATCCGTCAGGAAACTGAACGGGATATAATACTGGCCAAAGTTAAGCGACTAGTCTCTCAAGGTTGGCCTGACAGCTGTGAGCCGCAACTACTGCCCTACATTGTCCGACGCACAGCTTAATCTCGAGGATGGGTGTTTGCTATGGGGATCTAGGGCAATCAAACCACCATGGTGGCGACAGAATGTATTACAAGAACCTCCCGAAACGCACCCAGGAATCACGAGCATGAAGGTACTTGCGCGATCTTATGTATGGTAGCCTAATATTGACAATCATAGAGTTGATTCGACACTGCGACGTATGTCAAAGTACTCAGAAGAATACTCTTCCGGTACCACTTAGTCCGTGGAAATGGCTCAGTAAACCGTGGGAACGCTTACACGCGGACTGCTTTGGTCCGTTGGATGGAAAAATGTCTCTCCTCTTAACTGATGCGTACTCTAAATGGATAGAAGTTGTTCAACTTGCACATGTCACCTCTGAGACGACCGTTTCTTGCATGCGGACGTTTCAGTACCTTCGGTATACCGCATACGCTGGTAACAGACAACGGTTCCGTATATACTAGTCAAGAGTTCCTCAAAAACAATGGCATACATCATGTGAAATCAGCCCCCTACCACCCAGATTCAAACGGTCTGTCTGAAAGAGTCGTCCAGATTGTCAAGAACGGGTTAGGGAAAAAAGCCTCCGCTCCACTGTGAACAAAGTTGGACAAATTTCCTTTTGGCTACCGCACCACGCCAAACGAACCCACAGAGAAGAGCCCAGGTGAGCTTATGTTGAGACGGAGGTTGAAGGCACGGCTGGATCTTCTGTTCCCTGACCAGAGGCTACGTGTCGAGGCTAAGCAAGATAAATCTAAGGCAGAATACGACCAGAAGGCTTCCGATTGAAGATTCAGCGAGAACGAACTGGCCTACGTCAAGTTGCGCAACGAAACGACCTGATAGCACGAAGTTGCGAGACAACATACGGAGGTGGGTTTACCTGATGGCAGAGTAGTTACTCGGCACAGGGATCACATCCGTCATCGTTCCGTTTCAACTCCGTCAGATGACGCGTCCTAAAACCAGCAAAATGAGTTGACAAATGCGCAGAACTTTCAAAACTCTGGCCAAGCAGAGGATCAGCAATGTCGCCGTTCAACTCGACTACGCCGACCGATACTAAGCTAACTAGAGTGGTTCAGACTAAAGGGACAAGGAATGTGGCATTCTCAAGGTCAATGTACTGAGCACTTCATATTCGTTGCCTGCATCCGCTGGCGTGTCAGTAACCCGCTCACCCATTCATCGATTGGCCTAGTTTAGAATAGTGGATCAATGCGTTTTACAACATGACGGTTAGAATACAGTTTTGCCTTCCACTTTTTTTCTTCTGATATTGTTCTGATGGCACAATGTCTGTTAACAGACTGAATAAAGATAATATATATTACATGTGCCTGACGTGTTTTGCTTTGTGATACTTCGGCTAAGAGCCAGCCACTGTGCGTTAGTTGCGCAATTGCTAAACTGCGACAACCTCGTACTCGTCCTCGGGTACTTACCAAACGTAGCCCATTGTTTTCGTGGTCAGCCTCTATTTCTCTGGTACTTTTGTGTTTAGTTATCCGTTTTACACCTCGTTTTAATCCCTAACTATTTCGGTTGATTGCCCCGCATCTAACAGCTCACCGGTTCCACGTTTTCGCAAGTTTCACACTGGTCTTGAAATCATCATCACGGATTCACACAATACGGGCGTAATTGTCTTCGGGTGCATTGAACAGCGAGTTTAAAGTTGTCTGTGGCAGTGTAAGTTGCTCAAAGCTCTTGACAATTGAGCCTGGAGGCATGCAGTGTTATGGATGCTGCTGCTGTTCAAATATGGAGGCTCAGTTATCATTAGCCAGCTAACCTCATTGTTCTCCAAAATCTTGCATGAAGAAAAGGTACCTTTTTTCTGGGACGAGTCAGTTATTGTCCACGATTTTAAGAAGGGTGCACACATTTCGTGTATCAAACACCAGGGATTAGGTTTATTTCGGTTGCCTCCAAGCTATTGGCATCCATTCCACTCCGTAGACTATAGCCCATTCGTGAATCGCAGTACCTGGAAGAACAAACTGACTTCTGACATGGTCACGGGTGTGTAGAGCAGATATTCAAACTCCGTCAAATCCTGGAACACCGTCACCTTTACCAGAGGCCTACCATCGCGATCTGACTCGACCTTAACGTAGTGCGATAGTCTGTGTGCCTAAGTGATCTATTGAGGTATGGTGGGTGGTGCTTGTTTGCACCTTCAAAAGCCACTCATACCAGATTGGTCAATCGTTAGAGACCAGACAAACTCAGTCTCCTGGCCCTTCAGGTTAGGGGTTGGAGTGAGGGTGGCTCCTTACTCCATAAAACGGGCTCTGTATTCCAATACCAAAAGCCCACTGCTTTGCAATAAGGGTTTTGAACCAAAGTCTTTGGTTGAGAACTCTAATCGTTCTCCTGTCTAAACCTTGCAACGTGACAGTATTCTGCGTATGCAATAATCTCAGCCTTTCTTCCAACAATCTCTTGATGCTCTGGCCGTCGCAGAGGATAATAAACGGCACCCAATCTGCTGCATCCAGCAGGCTGGATAGGAGGTTTGGATGATACTACTCAGGCCTTCCCGCCATCATATTCCCCCTCCTGGGCTTTTTCATCCT